CAAGAAGCAGAGGAGCAATAGCTTGCTAGCGTGTACATGGCACCTTAACAATAGCGTGCATGCAGCCTTATGGCAGGCTATGAATTTAAATGTAAGAATGCTTACAGTTACATTCTCACAATATGCACTTTTAATAGTAATAACGTAGAGGCCATTACTAGAAAAGTATTTTCAAGGAAGTAGTATATGTTTACATACCAAATACGATTTAATGAATATGGAATTGTCATTCAATCAATTTCGGATTTGAAAATTTACCTCCAAATGCATGAATATTCTTGTGTTTTTTTCTTGATGTAAATTGAAAGAGAGAAATTGGTATGGTGACCTAATGACAAATTATCTACATTTCCTTTTTTTTTAAATGCTCTTTTAGGGCTATATACAGACCAGCCCAGTTCAACGTAATTTTGAAAAAAACTTTTCCAATTTTACTTAAATTACTGTCTATACATGCACGTTTATTCTTGAAATAATTAGCATGTTTGTCAGACTTGCCTACATTGTACTTTTGAATATAGATTTAGAACCATGATGCACTTACAATAAAAGTATTTTGTTTTATAGTATCATATCCCAACTCAAAAAATACAAGCACGTGCATCCATGGGACTACATATTAAAGTGAATGGTATAGGGTTTCATGTGATAGAGATTACCAATTTAAACTTGTCGTGTTTGGTAAGCCTTAAGCGCGTCAAATACAATACAGATTTGTATACATGTAGCTGATGAATCGTATGATTTGAGGATTTGTTTTTTTCTCTCCAGTTTTCCCTTTGTCAGTTCAAAGTCGGGTGTGCTTGTAAGAGTAGGCAATGGCGTGCATACGCAGGCATGGTTTGTGAGTGAGGTGTACATGAACGTCATGCAGTAACACACATCTAGTTGATGCCTTGAACTATAATGCATGGCCCTACAGAGGAATTTTTCTTGTTGGGGCCGGGGGAAAATGCAATGAATTTTTCAAAATTGATTGCATTTTCTACGTTTTGGGGATTTGTGGGGGGCGGCCGCGTACCCTAGCAAGCAAACACTGCGCGTACAGTCTTCAGGGGCTAAGCAATGGCCTCGTTACTGTGAGGCCCCAGCATAAAAATCGTGTCCATAAGCTATATTAGTGTCCTTTTGTGAGGCATTAATCCTCAATACTGTCAATTAATTATGATTTAAGGACGTAGGTTCCCTAGCTGATTAGCATAGTAGCACACATATGATTAAGCAGTCACGCGAAACAAACACTGGCAAATTAATATTCAATAAAATCTGAGAATATATGCCATTATCTAGATCTATTAGAAATTAAAAAAAAATTAAAATCCTTCCCTAAACTGGGATGAAAATAATTATTCCACCATATCATGACCAACAGTGTACATAAAGAAGTAAATTTGATGCTGAAAATAACAGCGTTTACAGTAATACAAGTCTCTTCCGAATCTGAATATAAAAGACTACAGTACGTTGCTAGATGAGCTCCTCAGAAAGAGAGAGGGAGGTATCGGTCACAATATTTCTAATAAACTTCTTTGTACAATCTTAACAATACAGGCATTTCATCACTTTAAGCTCCTGATGAATGAGCCATTGTAATAAAACTATGCCATTATAAATTATTATATGTGATATAAAAATATCATATCAGAAAAATCGATATCAAAGGATGTGCATTCATCCAAGCAATGTTTATTATTCCCTAGTTACTTCAGCAAATATTAACCTACAATGTATTTGTGACCACGGACCAGAGTCCAAAGTCCTGTTAATGCAATGGTTGAAGCGAGGCTTCATAGTATAGGTGAATACGCATACAAACTTGTTTCTGTTTTGATCGCAATGAATTAAATCGGGAATTCCCCCGATGATTTATTCTATTCAGTATCTGAAAGATATAGTACTATAGAAAGATTCAGGGTTGCTGTCCATGAGAATGTGAGAATGTTTTTATTTTAGTAGTTTTATTTTGTATGGCTTAAAGATACTACAGTATGTCCCTTTTGCAGCCAACATCAACTTCTGTAGAACTTGCAGGAGTTAAGAGTATATGTCATGTATGTCCTCTCTGTGAAATGTAAACGTTAGCAGTGTCCTAATATTCAAATTATGCAAGGAAACCCGTTTACTTGCTAGACTTCACTGTCAGACACTATCGAGTGACTGACTGACTTTTTTTGCTTTCTTGGTAATAACAAACATAAAAAAAAGAGCTGTTGAGGGTACATGAGCATTTGTCAATAATCCACTTCTTGTAATGGCCAAAATTAAACTGATTGAACCTTTGCGCAGCATAAACGTACAACCATTCGGTACAATGATCTGAAAATCAGACTATAACTTATACTTTACTGGCTCTACAGCTTAAGTCTTAATTCGATTTGACAACTATTATAGTCGTTTTTTTCCTCTTAAAGACATTTTCAAGCACCCCCCTTTTTTTTAAAGGGAAGTTCTAAATTAGTATTTACTTTCAAATGCCGTTGGAATATAACCTTTTCATTTTGTTAGCCTGCAAATTGGGCATAGTACCTTTAAACGCGGTTGTCATTGTATGTTGTTTTTACAGTTATTGGGAATAAATTTGGTCCTTGAAATTATTATATATCTATAGATACCTGTATGTTATATAAATGGTATGGTGATCTTACATTTGTTCCGGCGACATTTTTCTCCTGTTATTGTTTTCGTCAAAATTATAGGGTAAGGTTTGCAATTGGTTTTAAGTAAGGTTAAGAGTAAGGGTAAGGACTAGGACGACGATCGGATTTTAGGTAAGGTTTAGGGAAAGGATTAGGATCATTTATACAGGGTCCAGCGCGTTGGAGCAATAATTTCGGCTAGTGTATGCAATGGATCTGGAGCAATCGACCCGTTAGCATGTGTGATACAACTACTGAGTATTTGTAGAAAACTAATCATAGGTTTGATGATTTCATCTAGAAGCTTGTGTCTTTAGATCTTGTATTAAACATTGCTCACCATCCAGATCGCACACTATGTACCTGTGTGCCAACTGGTCTGAGTTCTGGGGCCTCTGCAGCTATTGCTGTCTTAGCCACCCTGTTAGTGGCTTCTGTCATCATCAACATCATTCAATTCATCATGTTGAGGAGACAGAAGACCAGACCACCAGGTGATTATATTCATCAATTCTCCTATAATAGTTGATATATGAAATCAGAACGAAGATAAGCTACCTCTGTTCAACCATGGACCTACTAAAAGAATTCAACAGGTATCGTGAAAATAATTATAATCCTAACCAAATTAA